AACAATCCAAACTCAGACTTACGGACACTTCGTACTCGCCACTCTGCTAAGTACACGCGCACTTATGGTGTCACCTCGAGTGGTGACGAAACGTTTGCAGTCAACATGCCGAGCTCAGCGAACGCTCAGTCCACCAACTTTGGAGAGTATAGGAAGAAGGGATACCGGGCGGCAGTCAAAGAGTGCTCAGTTCTGCTTCCATCTTTGTGAATCGGGGTTATTATTCTTAGCTTCCACATAGCGGGAACTTGATTTTCACCAGAGTAACGCTGGATAAACTGAGCTAAAGATACTGCCATTTAGCTTGCTGATGCTTGCAATGCCTCTGGACGAATGGTACCGACACCCGCCGATCTGTGTTTATGTAGAGACATCAGCTTTCGCAATACAGTCTCCGCGGTAAAAGTGATGTGGGTTACTCCTGGCGGAGAGACGACGAAGGTTGGAAGATCGCTTGGTGGCAAGCCCCTGTGGAAGGCGGGGGCGTATCGCATCCGCAGCGTGTTTGCTGCTTCCACAGCCGTTCTTGTCGAGCCATCGGCCGTCCTGAGTGGAGGAAGTCGTTGTCTCATCTTTCGTATGCTATTGACGTGCTTGTAGAGTAGTTTGTGGCTAGCACTGAATGTTTTTGCTATGTTCTGCTGATATGCGGGTTGGTCTACTCTTAGCATTTGAGTGCAGTGGTTACGTTAGGCTACGTAGTTGTCTCAAGTTGCTGGTGCTTGAGCTTGTTTATACACTCGTCATGCTACGTTGCGTACTGCTATTCATTTTCGAGTTCTGCTCCTAAGGAAAGAAACTGATTTACACTTATTGCAAACTTCTACCTATGAAGTCTCTGCAAGCAGCTGACTGAATTTGTTGACGAACGCTAACCAGACGGCTTCCTGGGGTTCTTCGTCAAGGAACGATCAAGTGCTTCTGCTAACGAGCTGGGCTAGTCGATCGTAGCTTGTGATGGTTTGCAGCCACACTGGGGATATCAAACAACAGCCAACACCTGAAATGTAGTAATCTAAACACGCAGGCACATACAGATAAAGTGCAACGACGATGCGGCACACGTACCACACCAACCGTCTTATTGACCTGGGTTAGTAAATTGAATCGGAAGCAGCAACGAAGTTGCCAAACGCTGCACTGACGATGGCCACACATTTAGCTTACTCATCTTCTCTGAGATGTTGGCCCAACGTGGCGACGCTGGTGGCTTACCAAACACGATTGCCTGAGGCACTGGCGACTGCATGTGCTACAACGCAATGCGCTCGACTTCGGTGGACTGTCCACCATCGACGCCGGTTGCTTTCTCAATCGACGTTACCTTTCCGCCTGCAGTAGTGATTTCTCTTGCACTTGGGCAACCGCCATCATAATATGCTCTCGCCATCAGCGCCGATGCACTGACATCGACTCCCAAACCCGAAAGCAACCTTAGTTCGTGATAGGCTCACCTTGATCATGTCCTGGTAACGTAACTTTGGTTTTTCCATGTGCCGCTTCCTCCCATGCAGTTGGCCATAAAGCAGCTGTTTCGGTATCCGGGTCGAATGCATGCGGTGAAGATGCCCGAGGCACCTCAGATGCCTCATCATAAGTATTCAGTCCACTGCATACATGCTATTGCGTCGGAGCACCCAGGTATCTGCAACTCGGTCACTCCAGTCGACACCCATAATATGGCGCAGACACTGTTGTTGGGAGCGCTCCAGATAACGGACATCTTTCGGATAAAGCGTCCAAGTTTTGGTGCTGTATAGAAGAATGGACAGCACCATAGACTTGTATGCCAGCAGCTTCGACCCGACAGTGAGCTGGTGGTTGTTCCACACACAACAATCCAGCCTGCCAAACGCAGCAGCCGCCTTCGCTACGCGGATGCGCAGCTCGCTCGTCATCTGCAGGTCGGTTGTTACTACCCTCCCCAAGTAACAAAATCTCGGAGTGGTTTCCAACACTTCCTCGGCAACCTGGATTTGGGGTAGGCCCACGAACTCCATTCCGGATGACGACTTGAAAAAACCAGCAAACTTGCTTGTGTTAATGGTGAGCCCGAATTCGGCCGCTGTCAAAGCCAGAGCACTAATCATGTGCTGCAATTCATCCGCGCTGTGCGTAGTCGTCAGCAAACAGCAACATACGGATAGTTGTCGCACACGCTCGGGTTCTCGCACCGAAACGATTAATGTTCAGCAACCCACCATCAATACGGTGCTCCACACGAACACCGTAAGCACAAGCAGTAGCAAAAGTACAAGACATCATAGTATGCAGGTAAATATTAACCATAGCAGGAGTTAAGACACAGTCTTGCTTCACACCAGAGACAACTGCAAAGTCATCTGAGGTCTCTCCACTCAGCTGCACCCTCGCCCGCATACCACTGTGCACATTCAAGTAAACTTACAAATGTACTCGGACAACCATACATACCCAACACCAGCCACAATGCCTCGCGGTTCACCGTATCAAATACCTTGTTGAAGTCAACAAACAGCGAGTACAATGTCTGATGTCGTTCTCAACGCTTTCCCTGCAACTGATGAGCCGCAAACACCATATCTGTAGTGCTGCGACCCGAACGGAATCCACATTGCTTATCCACCCCGTTCGGTTCCACAACCTGACTGACGAGGGGGTGGAGCAGGATTCGTGCGATCACTTTCCCCACACCACTGAGCAAGTTTATGCCACGATAATTCATGCAACATTGCTTGCTCCATTTGTCCTTGTACATTGGTAGCACAAGGGCATTCTTCAGCTCAGGAGGCACATTCTCCTCAATTTACACGCGTTGCAACAAGCGGTACAGGGCAGTCAGCAACGCGGGTCTAATGTGTCCTAATACTTCAAACGGGATCCAGTCGGCCTCGGCGCCTTTGATGTTCCACAGCTGTGCAAGTGCTCTCCGCATCTCATCCGGTGTCGGCGTGTCCGCCAGACTCTCCTTCACCTCGTTTTGTTTCAGGCCGTTCAATGTAGGCCAGCCAATCTCTGAACGGTTGTTCAAGACATAGTCAAAGTGATTGCGCCAGATCTGCATTATGCCTGCAGTCTGCATGCAGGCAGCGCCTGAACTACCATCGATCAGCGTCCACAGCGGCTCCAGCTTCGGTTCATATACCGCGTTCAAGGAGTCTAAGAATTTCTTGTGTTGGCGACGTTCAGTGTAGCATACCATCTGCTTCCGCTTTGACATCCACCATGCATTATTAATCCGACAGAGCTCTCGAGTCAGTGGCTGTCGAATTCTGCGCAACAGACTCTTCTTCTCCAAGCCACTGGTGTCTGCCACATGTGCAGCAAATGCTGCTCATCGTCGCATTGTTCTCATCAAACCAATCAGGCCGTTTAGTTTACGGGCCTGATGGTCTACTCGGCAGCAGCTGTCACCTGGTCGCGAACATGATGCCACAGGTCGCCCACTGTGGCTACGCACTCCACCTCATATAGACGTGCAGCCATCGCCTTCTGTAGCTCAGCATATTTCTCCGCAGTACCTAGAGAAGGTTAAATTTACGCCTACGGATCACGGCAGGCACACAGTGCGTACTCTTCCGCACGTGGATGTACACTTTGGTCCGCACAAATTTGTGGACAGCGCCATATTCAGCTCCACGCGGTACACTATTCATGCGCATTTCACGCATGGCACGCTGGCGTACACTGACATAGTCGAGCAGGTGAGCGTAGCCACTCCCTCGGTGCGTCCAAGTTGCTATATCACTAACACGCAGTGCAAACCGTGTTCGTGATCCTCAGGTCGTGAATGGCACACAGTGAGAGCAGCCTGTCACAGTTCGCATTCACCGAACCAATGCCATGCGGACCGATGACAGCTGTCCACACCGATGTCTCACACGCACGACGCGCGTTGAAATCGCCCAGCAGAAATAGTCGGTCGCTCCTCGGCACAGACCGTATCACGGAAAATAACTGAATGAAGAATTGACCACGCGTGTCTCAGGATAACATGTTCGGACCGTACGTGCTTATAAAAGTGGGTAAGTTACGTCTTCCGACTCGTAGGCGAACGGTCATCAGTCGCGCGCTGGTGCCGGTTGGTTCACCCACCAGCTGGCCATTTAGGCGATCGGATAGTGAAATCCGACCCATGTTCACGTGGTGCTGAGGCGGCGTTGCCCACCCAGTAGAATGTGTAGCCAGCACCTGCTTCATGCAACTTACGTTGTTCAGTGAGGCGAGTCTCGCTTAGCGTCGCAATATCGATGTTGTGGCGCGCCAATTCTATCGTGACCAGTGCAATGCGTCGCTCGGGGCGCTCACTCGTATTCTTGTCGAGCAAAGTGCACACGTTCCAGCACCCGATGTCGAGCGCTTTGCGCGGTGGCATACGATTGCGTTGGCGGGCAACCGTGTGGGTGGTAACGAACAGGATTGGAGGAAGTAGTGGATTAGGTGAAACAGGGACGGGGAGAGTATGTGCATGGGAAGAAGAAAGAAGAGAAGCTCCACTAGTAGCATATTTTCGTCTATCCATCCTGCTGTATGCAGCAGATAAGGCGACGCTTTTCCCAGTGCCACTGAGCGACGGCCGATGCAGCATGGACTTATTATTATTAACGTAATTCATGGTTTACATTTGGACTAGGATACTGCCAGGGCCTCCAAACCTGACAGGAGAAAGACTCGGGTTCTCAGCCACCATGGGCTCTCCCCCAGCTATAGTAACTAATGGTTTATCAACAGACATGCTCGAGGCGAGTATCATTCCTCCGACAAGAGTAAGGTCACCCCCGGAGGCTAGTGGCTCCTTCCCCATCACCAGTTGAAAAACGTGTCCGAAATTAAAGGGAGCGGAAAGGTGCAATGTGAAATAATTTTCTCCGATACAAATGCGCACAATCATTCCAATAAAGTAAAAAGTCAAATTAATAAAATACGAGGTTCTTTCGATGTGGTGCAGTTGGACAGTCAAACTTTTGGAGCGATCCCAATCGTTAATAGACTGTCAGTTTTTCGTGACAGATGAGTGCAGTATCACATCAGTGTTGTTCACACGTGTCATCCGGTTATTCGGTGTAGCCAGCAATTGCTGACTGTTCCACGGACTATTGGAGCAGTCGGAACCTGTTGGGGTTGCGCTTCTCTCGCATGCGACGATTTTGAAACCAAGTCCGGATCTGTTAGGTGAGACAGAGGGAATCAAGCGGTTATTCATTTCCAAACACAAACAAATTGGTGGGCCAAGTAGTGGGAATCATAGCGATGGTGTATACCTCAACGTGAACTACATTTTCAGCTACGACCTCTCGGCTCATAGACGTCATTTGTGACCATGCCAAGAAACAGAGGCTAGCAATTGTCATTCCTGTTCCTGATCGATAGATCATGGAGGAAGACTGAAAAGCACCTTCTGTTTCGTGCACTTTATCGGCTGCAACTGATGTATACTACCTATTTTAGCTCCCCGAGAATTTGAGTTGTTTATTTTGAGCCATTTTTGGTCAACTTATGTGTATGGTGATCAGGTCTCATCAATTGGACTGCTACTCGATTTATTGAGAAACTACAAAAAGTCAATTTGATGAAGTTGTTTGAAACCACTAATTGCTAGCGTTTCCGCAGGTCAGTATGGTCGGATTCCTCCAATAGGGATATACTACGATACTCCTTCTGTTTGACCTGATTCCAAACTCAAATCCAGTAGGTCTCTTGTGAGCCAGTGAGACGACATTTCAAAGTGTTTGACGGCTCCTGATCATAATGGAAAAATCTGGTAGCCAAGTCAAATGAAAGTCCACTAATCTTTCAGGTAAATATCGGCAGATAGGAATAGGTGAAAATATTGACTTTGGCTGGTCTTCCTAGATAGCATGTTGTTTTGAGTTATACATAGACCTCCGAATGGGGATAGCAGATACGGCGGTAACACCCTATTCGACTGCGCGTCTTGCAAAAACGCAGTCCAGTGCAAACGAGAAAATGCAAGTACTTACGTTCCCTTGACTGATTCCATCCGATACCAGTTGTTCACAAGTTTACCACAGAAATCTCCCTCGGTGTCTCCAGATAGCAGAGCTCAAAAAGCTTTTTAACAGAAAGGTGGCTGATTATGCAGGCCAAATGTAAGTTGAAAGACCACCTGGTAACAGTGCCTGACACCAAAACGATAGCACTGGAACTAGAGTCAATCTCGAGCGAAAACTGAAGGGACGGCCATTCCTCAAACTGAAGTATACAAGCTCCGTACAATGTTAATGATTTGTCCTCACGAGTCTGTACGTTGAAAGGAATCTTTAGTTACATAGATCACACAGTATTTTATCCCCCGATTGGTATGAAATAAAATTTTAAGGGAATAAATTTCTGGTGGATGTAACATGCAGTCATCGATGGGGACTAAACTGGAAGTTCCAAAAAGCATTGTGAGGAGCTCATTTGGAGCATCGAAAATAGTTGCGGTGTCTATGGACCAAATGACCATCGGCTGGGACTTACTCTAGCTTCAGAGAGATTCAGCTTCTCTGCAAGCATCTCCCTATCTCTCGTACATAAATACGGATTGCGCCGGAAGAACTCCTCTAAACACTGCATATGTTGAGGCTGAAAGTAAGCGCGTGCCTTTCGGTACTGTCTTGGTTTTGAGCATTGGGTTGGACTTTGGGGACAGGTGATGATATTGCTAGTCTGATGTACACCAGACCGAAAAGCACCCTTCTCGTAATTTAAAGGAGCATGTCCGTGTACGTCAGCGGTTGAAGGAGTAATTTTCGAATGTGATTGCATGGACCCGTTTTGTGGAAGTCTGAGTGTGTCATTTGGCGAGGAAGCTTCCAGGGAAAGAGGTACCATACAGATTTCGGAAGTATGGGTAGGTGAAATGATCGCAGAAGTCAGTTGAACTGGGTTGGCATACGGATTGATTGAAGAGTAATTGTCAGGCTCCCGCTTAAAGCTATGCACTCCAGGTTCATGAGGTAGACAGTTTGAAAGTGGAATATCTGAAAGACATATCAGGTTGAAAAATAATCCGTTTCAAACGTCATTTCTTAAAACTAGTCAAGATATTTAGTTGCTTCAGGTAAAACTAAGGTGTCAATGCCTAATAAAATCCACTTTATAATAAATCACAATTCAAGTTGGGAGCGAGTGTTTCCATTCCATTCACACACAACAACCACTCCAAACAACCCAAGCAATGAGTCACTAACCCCTGCGGTAAGTCCCGTCTTCAGAGAGACCGGTGACGTGGTAACAGCCGCGTCTCCATGTTCCCAGCTCGACTCTCAGGATGAGTACAAGCCAACTCGAGCCCAGTTGTGAAGTACAGTGCAATCGCACGTGGTGCTAAGTAGCATTTGTCAGATGCTGTTTCGCTCCGAAGTACAATCACCCCAGTGCGTATTCCATGTCTACGAAGGTAACCAGTGATATGTAGCGTACAAGCTTGTACGCACTGAGGATGCCACCACGCATGGTGGTGAAACGTTTGCGAGAAAACCGCCAAGCTCGGAGAACAAATGTACAATTGATTCATCAACCCGAGCTACCGGTATTTCAAAATAGTTTTTAATTTCACGATAACTTGCAATGTTTTATCGCATTTGCCTGATGTCATGAGTAATAGCAAATTGGTCCAAAGAATCTCGGTTTTCGATTCACCGTTAATCAAATGAAGATGTATAAACGGAGCCGAAACTTACGGGAATAGGTTGCGGTTCGTACCGGAGGTGAAATAATGCATGTCAATTTTCTGTTCAGAAGGTCCATTTAGATGTATTATGGTCACAGTATGATATGGAGTCGGTGGTGAACCCTTGTAAAAATGGGTCGTTCATGCAAGCACAGCCGATTAGGGTGCAACGAAGCACACGCAGTTAACCCGTTGCTTCAAGGTGATTGTGGTCTTATACCTCCTTGAGAATTCCTTAGCGCGATAGAATGTTCTCTTAGCGCATTGGTGCAAACATTGGTTGAGACTGATTAATCTTTTCAGGCAATGAAAGATGGTAACGTTGGAACATGTGCTCCACTTTCATGCTGATCGAACAAGTGTTGGTTACCTATCGCCGAGTACATTTGAGCCCCCGAACATTGGTTACGGGATGCGGATTTCCTAAGATGAGCTCACTTTATCCGTCGGAGGAAATGCCACGGGGGCTAAGTCAAAGTGGGACCAGAGAACCAGTGTAAGGTTTAGGACAGTCCTTCCTTAGTAGCCCGAATCACACCGCAGTTTGTTGGGTAATAAAACGTCACACTCTACAAAATTCTCTTGAACAATGTATTTGTAAACCGGAAAATCAGCAACTACTGAAGATTAACCTAGTTGGTCAACTGCAAAGACCAGAAAGTAGGCAATTACAGGGCATAAATACAGGAATTTAAGTCATCAGCTTCATAAGCAATATTGGGGTATTTGGATAAGCTAAATGGGAACTGAGTTGAACGGCAGTGTCTGGGCATGCACGTGTCGGTTCATATCCCCTCTGAATTGTTTAAGGTAAATTGTATAAAATGTGTCAGTCAATTAGCTCCCACTTTTTCGAAACGTGGAAGGGAGATCTAGTAAAACAAATGATGAAGTCTTGTTTCTCAGAAGCAGTCTGTCTTGGAGTGAACTTTAAAATCTCCCGGCGGCCATCAGAGAATATCGGTATCTAGTAGAGCAGTTCGCAGAATACAGTGAACTAGTTTAGGCGCATCAAATGACCTCCGCCACAAACGGTAAACTCACCTATGCGACTGGGGAAACGCAGAAGTTGGTCTGGGGTTGGTATAACTGGGGGAAATGTCCATAACGGTTGCGACGGAGGAACCGGTTGCTCAAGGATTTGCATTGTTATCCTGCTAGACTTCTGTTTCGAGGCGAAATCCTGTATCCAACACTGCGAAAATGATCCGGATTTATCCCCCTGGACAGTTGCATCTGGGGATCTGATTGATTGACCTTCACTCGATTTCAGGGACAGATCTAGTGCAGCCGGAAAATCATTTGAACTGCAAACTTCAGGGGACGGTAAATTGTTTATGCAACTACATCCAACTTCATTTTTGCTGCATTCAGCGGTGTCATCGAGCATTGAGGTCGAGGATAGCCTACTCAGGTACTACTTTACCGAAGGCGTTGCATAACCTACCTCAGCTCAGCGAATAGTTGAACCAATCAGCTACTTGGATGCAGTGTTTCACTCTCTGATTGGTTCCAACAGGGTGCATGACGCAACACCATCCTGACTGCTACTCGGCAAGTCTTGGTGGGTGAACCAAGCCGCTCATTATCACCTCAATCACCTATGTGATTGGGCGGAATTTCAGCGATTAGGGTTGCGAAAGTAGAAGCTGCGAGACCCGATTACGTAATTACCTACCTCATGCAAATGGAGTCCTACCGGTCTTCAAGACAGCTGGATCGAGGGGGCGTTTTCAAGTGTTTCAAACTATCACGCTTCATCTCGCAATAGAGAAAGCGTATCTCTGGACCTTTGGGGATTCCAGGCTTACGCGTGTGGTCTATCCACCATAGCAACCAGACGATGATCTTGGACTTTGGGTAAGTGGGAGAACCCAGGCTAAACTGAGAAAGTCGGTGTGAAGCACATGTGTATGACACGGGCAGGGTAAAGTCAAAAGTGAAGGAAAAGCAACGGAAATAGAAGAAGTTGGGATGGTTTAGTCTTTATGTGTATTTGTCAACGGTCAACAGCACATTTCAAATAAAAAAGCCAAAGTTTATTATGTCACGCTAGAAGCTCGGAAGAGTAGCTGCTAAAAAGAGATAAACTGAACCTACTGAGCAAAATCACCTTCGATGAAGCTGTTCACACAACGTTCAACGCCATTTATGAGGCAATTATCCTTGGTTTTCCTAGCGAAGCAAATGAAACTTTGTCTCGGGTCTCTGATGTGATTGTGTAAGGAAGCGAATGCATTGTCTGCACACTTTTTCTACACGGTTAAGTTAAGACCATACAAAAGGTTTCCGGAGGGTTACTTTGTATGTGGTAAACAAGCAGTGATCTTATAGCTATCTTTGTGTTAGTGGGTTACGACAAGCAATCCCAATTTGGACGACGTTTCCTACATCCAACAGCGCAAACCACCGTTCGTTTCGTACCTATTTGTACTCGTCAGATAGGGCTATTGGGATAGCAGATCTACTAAACCTAGCGGAACAGAACACCGCACAAACCTTACGAGGTATGGATCGATGAGATTAATTCCGAACAGTAACTGACGACTGAGCCGCCCAGAAGATGGATCACGCATACGACTAGCTGACGCTCTGCATCGCTGTGCTACACAATAGCGCACTGACGGTTTCCTTTCGGTTGGTGCCGAACGCTTGGAGTATCACTGCCCAGCTCAGTGAACACCCCGCCCACCACCATTAATATTTGCTTCTGTATCAACCGGTCAGAAGTGATCATCAGTTAGTGCAGACCAGACAGGAGAGGTAAACCGGTGTACTTGCGCTAACTACGCCGGTATTAGGAGTTATAGCCACAACCACAACATAAGTTAACAGCGAGATAAGGATCTAGGGTCGATGCATTTGTTCATTACATTGCACTAGAATGTCTGGTAGGAAATGGTGCTGATCGTTTTCTTCGGGGCCAAGTAAGCCAATAGTGGACTTGAATTTCTATCTCGTGCCCTCACAGGCGAATACATCTGGTGCTACTTTTGGTGATGCCAACAACCAACTTGACAATATCCAAGGTTATTTTACATGGGCTCACGCGGTACTGGTCACAGTTGAAGTACAACATGTGGTTTGTTGGATGCCATGTTAATGTTTTGGACGTGATGATAAATGTTGTGACAACTCCAACTGGATGACTGTTCTAATCCTGACGGTGGTAATTAACCTTGGGGTAAACTTTAGCTATCCTGATTACCGAGACTGTATGCAAACAAAGGACACTTTGGGTATTAATACCCATACGTTGCTAAGGGATTGGCGGCATCCGTGCCCGGATTTGCCTGTCACTGTGTCACGGGGACAGCAATGGGACGCCTGCGCCTACAGGGGGACCATGGGTGGCTTGCGCTGCACCAACCACACACCCCAAATCTGGTGTAAACCTGAAGGGATAAGACCGGGAGGCATGTGGATGGGAGCCATGTTTCACTAACGGAGCGGACGAATTTCTGTCTGTCTATGTGGGAAGTCATGCGTATCAGACGTACACAAGGAGGTAGCTGGGCTGTAGCCAGCTCCACACTAGAGGGAACCACTGTTTCAGCGTGGCACGATCACGAGGACTGTGCACTCGTCCCCCAGCCAAGATTAACAGTCTCCCGGAGTCAGTATAGAGAAGGTGGAGGGTGTTAGACATGGATATCAAGCGCGACCGTACCGGAGATATCAATCATCTACCAACACCTAAAATGCAAGAAACCAAACACGTAAGCACTACTATACAGACCAAATGCAGCGATGATGTAACACCCGTCGCACCTCTACCTCATTCGTGGTCTGGGTTAGTAAGTTGTATCGGAAATTGTTCTGAGCCCGCAGCCTTAAAAAGGTTTTAGGTGTCGGATCTCAAAAAAAACCTCCGCTCCAGTGGGTGGTTCTAGTGACCCCGCCCATCGCACAGGACCGGGTGTGCTACGTTCAGAGGTAGATGGCGAGGCGCAACTGAACTGCGATTGAAATTGATCAACCCATCTGTTCATATGTTTCTGCAATTTAATGATTTGCGTCCAATCCGTCTCACAGATGACTTCGCTGGTACCAGACCTCTTGTGTCCAGTGGTCCGAATGGATTGAAACAGTTTGCGAGTATTTCCAGTGAGTACGTTGGCTTCTATCTCTGAGGCATGTTAGGACCAACAAACATCCCGATCGGCGCGAAGACTTCGTTTGAATCGATGGTCGAAAACGAGGCCAGGTTCACAGTGGTCTGCCTTTACTGGGAGATTTCGGTGGCGGTCGAACAATGCCAGGGGTTGCGCAGAGATGCAACCCTTCGAGTGGTGATGGTTGGCGACATCCGGTTTCGGATTTGCCTGTCACTGTGGTCAGCCACAGGACGCCTGTGCCTACAGAGGGACCATGGATGGCTTGCGCTGTACCACCCACAGCTCCATCCACACACCCCATATCCAGTGTAAACCCGAAGGAATAAGACCGGGAGGCATGTGGATGGGAGCCACGTTTCATCAACGGAGCCGGCCCACACTCCTTCACAGACAAACACAAGCACACTGTATTTGGGGCGGTGGCTGGACCGTAGTCCGCTCCACACTGACTCCATGGAACCACTCTTCGAGCCTAGCACGACCACAAGGACAGTTGATAGCACAACTGATCCTACTGCTGAGTTACCTTGTTCGTTTCGCGTCCCCAGTGCTTCCGCTTTGCGGCCCTCCGAATCGCATACACATATTCGCACAATCTAGCGAGTGATTAGAATCAAGATAAGTGGTCTAAAATAATCTGCGGACTTGTATGCTACCCTACCATTTAAAACTGAGTGTATTGTGGTCTATTTGAAACCAAAGCTACATTGGTGAAAGAGGACGCCAGGTGGTAGAACGCCTATTGGAGTGCCTGAAGTTTGTGTTTGCGAGAAATACACTGTTGTCTTTACACAGAGTGATAAACCAGTTTCGAGCGACCCTCATTCGTTGCCTGATGACCACCCGCGTGAACTTCTCCTGTTAACAGACGACCAACGCGTGCGTTTGTTTCCTGCAAGGACGACATCCGACTTGGTGACTTTACGTACCAGCTGATGTATTTGTTGATAACATTCGTCCCTGATTGATTCATAACTACAATCGGTTGCCGCATAAGTGAGGACCACAAAAAAGGTTGCGCCTTTTAGTACAATGCTTGTCAACCCTGCATGAGCCTTAAACCCGAACATCACATAGTAGGGTGTTAACCAGAAAACAATCCAGGATTGCGGCCTCTGCTTTGCTGCTTAGTACTGCGCCAAAACCAGCCGCAGCTGTTTCCGCGTCGGCAGACAAATAAGCTGTATATGGCTTCCTGGTTGGTCGGAGATGTCCATATGCTTCTAATCCATGGTAAAAATATCTACTCCTACTTCCTACAAGTCAAAGAAGTTATTAATCTTTGCAAAATGTTTCTAACAAGATAGAATCAGTTAGTCAGGGGACTTAGTAGCTCATCAGCTCAGCGGCTTGAAGCGCAGCACGATTATATCTACTTGACTAATCCAATTAAGGATGAGATAGATTTGCAGATGTCTGGTCAACCGAAGTCTGTTCGGAAATGGTTGACTGTTTCTTCTGCCTAAGGACTGAGTTTGGCTGAACTTACAGATGACACTCACTTATGAAAGTCGCACGCAATTATCGGGGTCATTAAGAGCATGGACTAAAGACGACAACTGCACACAGGAAGCCTGCCGGTAAGTTCGAACTGAACTGAAGTGCTGAGTTGTGTTCATCGGTTAATGAACCGCCCTGTTATCAAATCCGTTATTTTGACTCAGCTGCTCAGAGCAATGATAACAACCACGTGCGATGCGACCCGATTGGCATGTATAATTATCTAACCTGTTGCGCAACCAGGACCTATTAAGCGGAAAGAATGGCATATGCGGAGGAGGAGGAGGAGGCGGTCAGGATGTGACGGTCATCATTAACTTTGGACGAGGCAGACAGACAGGAGACTGCTCGTTGATTGAATCCAGCCATGTGGAGTAAGTAATGACACAAAAGGAAAAAGCTGCATAATCGGATGTTCAACGGAAGAGTTGTACTCGCACAATTCGTCCGAAAGAAGACAGATCATTTGGTAAAACGCTGCAAAGTGTAATACCGATTCACTTAAGAGTGGCAACAAATCAGAATTGACGAGTTCCACATCCCGTTCTTGACTCGTCTGATCGACCCATTAAATTGAATCTAAGGTAACCAAAGCTAGAAGTACTCAGGTGAGTGATATGAGAAATTAGACACATAGTATCGAATTGACGGACTGATGGTTGTGCGATGGTGATCATTGAAAGCGAGTCGACTTCGGCATCCGTGCACCCACTGACACCCTTACATTTGCCTGGTGTGCCAGTGGTATTGGTCCCAATAGTCGACCACACCATGGGCCATTATTGTA